TGCTTCGAAGCTGGATTCTACGGTGAGTGGTGGTTTCAACGAGTGAGGGTTTCATGAAGCTGAGGAATGTAATTGTAAAGTAATACTTTTTCAGTAGTTTGTATATTCTCGTTAATTGTCTCCATCTACAATATATACGTGTCGTATTTCGTCGACAAAACTGGTCTACAGGTAGTCAAACTTTCGATTGTTTTTTTTTTGAATTTTGGTTTCCGTTGCAGAATTTCGCTTTTTGATTGAAATGTTCGGAATGTGAACGAAAATGTTTTCGACGAAGTGATCACCGATAAATTCAGTATGCTGTGATTTTTGATGAATTGTATTCGTTGTGTCGTTTTCGTATTTCGTGTGCACAGAAATACATCAGTAAGACACATTAATTGATCAGTTGAAAACGAATCTGATGGGAATGGATGATTATTAGATCAGTTTTTTGTACGAGATGAAAAGAGTTGTGGACATTTTGCAGTTTATTGTGATTCAGCTGAAATTGATTTGATTTAAATTGATGATCATTCGTAATTATTGATTGGCCTTCGTTGAATTCAAGCCGAATGTTTACGAAGCCTGTCTGCCAATGTTCCCGGCGTTGGTGTTGTTCGCGGCATCGATTTTTTGGGCGAAGTATTCACCGAACGATGTCATCAGTTTGGAATCACGCGTCTTCTATTGGACCATGGGAACGACCTTCTCGAATATTGCGGTAGATTGCTTTGTTCGGAGCGTATTTGAGCATTCAATAAATTCACTCTTCCACAACCAGATATTGGGAGAGCAATTTTCTGAATGAGAAATTTTGAGAAGAGTTTTTTCGTCTGAATGAGAAAAAATTCTTTTTGAAAAGAGAGTTGTGCAGTAGTTTAACGGTTCATAGGTGATGCTGAAACATTTCATTAATTGGGCATGTGGACGCAGTTAGTTAAAAATTTGATTCACGCGAAACTGATGTCAGTTCGAATCGATTTCAGTGTCGTTTGATAGTGGCTCAGATGACGCATACACGTGCACCGTCGTTCAATTTCTTGCTGAGTTTGTATTGCGGTGTGATGCTGATTGCGATAGTTGGTGATGTGGACGTATCGGTCGAGACGAGATTGTTGCAAGTGCTGGCCGCTGTGATAACACTGGCTCATCTACATTATGGGATTTGTTTGGTAAGATGATAGTTATTATCGTC